TGAACCAATTGAAGCTTTCAAATCATTTGAAGGGTTCCCCCACCTAGACTGGACTTTACAGTCGAATTGTAAAAGCAGCTCCCTATACATTTAGAACATAGAAGAATAGGGTTGAAAGGGATCTTGGAGGTCTTCTAGTCCAACCCCCTGCTCAAACAGATGACTCCATACCATTTCACACAAATGGCTGTCCAGGCTTCTCTTGAAAACCGCTAATGATGAAGCACCCATAACTTCTGGAGGCCAGCTGTTCCACTGGTTAATTGTCCTCACTGTTAGGTAGTTTCTCCTTAATTCCAGGTTGTGTCTCTCCTTGATTAGTTTCCATCCATTGTTTCTTGTCCTGCCTTCTGGTGCTTTGCAAAATAGATTGACCCCCTCTTCTCTGGTCACAGAAATTGTGGCCAATACAATTGTGGACATATGTCTCCTTTCCCTATAGAAGGCTCTAGGAACTAAGCAAGAAGAGGCAAGGACTAAGTCATTCAGATGCCAAACACCGAAACGTTTTTGCATTCATTGCTGGAACTGGGTGACCAGGCTGTGGGTAGATCATGACTTTGGAGGAACATCCTTTATCAGATTAGTATTTCCATTTGGAGAAACTGTTATGCCTTTTATGTAACACACTGATTGATCATTTGTGGGGTACCTGTGGCATTAATCCACTTTCATTCTTCCACAAGGCTAAACTGCTGGTAAAGTGATCACAAGGACCACTTGATTGTGCTGGAGTTTATCCTTTGAGAAAAGATATGAGCTGTTTTAGAGCGTGTTTTTCTGGACAAGTGTTGCAGGAGATGAGAGGAGAGGAGAATGGAATGGTTGAGTGGAGTGGAATGGAATATAGACTAGAAAATGGAATGGAATGGTAGAACAGAGTGGAATGGAATGGAATGGAATAGAGTAGAGTAGGGTAGGATAGGGTAGGGTAGGGTAGGGTAGAGTAGAGTAGACTAGAGTAGACAGTAGAAGAATAGAATAGAATAGAATAGAATAGAATAGCATAGCATAGCATAGCATAGAATAGAATTTCTCTATTTAGAAGAACGTTGAAGCCACCTTTATATCAAATTGTTTCAGTGTTTAATACTAATTGAAATTGAAATTTAATCCTACCCTGAAAGTATGCCTTTTTATTTCCAACCAGCAAGTGTGTACATTGTAGTTTAAATATTCAAGAGTTTTGAGGCTGCACACTCATTTTTAATGCCTTTTTAAAACTTGGGTTGGCCTGCATGCATGTATTTTGTTTATGAGGATAATTGCATCTCCCTTCCTGCCATTCCCCCCCACACACACACACCCTCCTCCTGACAGTCCAATGTACAGTTTGAGTGAGACAGATACCTCCGCACACACCAGCGATGGCTAGATTGTTACTTACTCAGTATAATTAGAACATCCATTCCACAGAGGGAAAACATTTAAAAGATAAAGAGTGCATTTAAAAATGAATCTTCCCCCCCCCCTGCAATTTTTTTCATAATTATACTTTCAGCAGCTTACGGGTGATGGTGGAAGAGGCTACTTAAGAAAAATTAGGTGCTTCGCTTGGAGAGGAATGATCCTTCAAGGAAGGGGATTTTGTCATTTTTCAACAGCCTGGAGAGAAAAGAGTTTCCAGTTCTCCTTGTATTGGGACTATATTTCGCTTATCAGGTCCAGTGCTGGGTATTTTAATTAAAAATGCAATGTTGGGCATTAAAGGTTGGCTATTTCTCTCTCTCTCTCTCTCTCTCTCTCTCTCTCTCTCTCTCTTTCTCTCATTTTCAGAAGATATCACCAGAAAGAGAAATATTAGGAAAGAAAAACCTTTTCCCTCAAATGTTCTTCTTAAAGGCCCCAAGCTCCGGCCATTTGCAGACTTTTCTCAACTGCTAGGAGTGGGAAGGGGATGGGGTGTGACTGTGTGTGTCTGGCTGTGAGCATAAATCCTTGTGAGTCTGCCTCTCTGTGTACAAAAGAGGATGCAGGCCTCTTGGTCACCACAAAAAAAAAAAAAAAAAAAACGATAAGGGAGATTATTGCTTTACAAATACCGTAAACTTCCTGATTAAAAAATAAATAAATAATAGTCATTCCCACGGAGACTGTTTTTAGCTTGGCTTTTATTCAGGGGCCTCTGAGCAAAAAGAAAAAAAAAACAAACAAACCACACATGAACACACACACAGGAAAAAAAAAAAAGTGAACATAAACCAGTAATGGAACCAAAGCTGGGCTCCTTAGTAGGTGCTCCTCCTTCAACACAACACATCATTCATTTAAACAACCGTGGACCGAAGGAGTTGAAAAAAGAAAGGAAAAAAAAAACCCAGCTGACTTTAACAGTCAGAAGTCCCTTTTTCTCCAGGCCAGGAGCAGCCGTACAGCTGAATTTCATTTCTTTTGCTGCCAGAGACCGTCCAAGCTCTCCTTGCCCAGGGTCCCTGGAACGGAGCGAAGGACTTTATTTGAGGTGACAGCTCCTCACACTTCCGTGTCCAGATCACCTCACGTCGCCCAGATCGCCTAGAAAAAACGGGAGCGCTTCTGCCACAAATCCCAAATTTGGAGTGACTGAGGTTATCCTTAAGGCCTCTCGGATTGAAAGGAAAAAAAAAACCAAAACCCAAAACCCGTGACAGCCGAGGCCTGCCAGAAACTTCAGAAACAACCATTGGAGTTTGTGATGATGGCTGGAGAAGGAAAGGGTAAAAAAAGAAATCTGCAGGAACCACAAAGAATATTCTAAGCGATAGGAAAGGATGTCAGGTTTCATTAGCCCCGGCGACAGTGTCAGAATATGCGTGGCGCAATACGGCACCAGTATCTCTGTCCTGGGTGTCTGTTTTGTGTCACCGCACACAATTCCAGGCTTGTCTCCAATCCTGACACAGTGTCTTCTCGGATCAAGTTATTGTCCAAAGAGCCACTCTACCCCAATCATCGCCTTGACTGAAAGCCTGGCCTTTCGCCTTTGAACGCGCTTGATGTCTATTTAAAAATCGGGACGGTGACGGCAGGATCTGTTTTGCTGTCAAGAGATCAGTGACAATATTACTATGTGGCCTCCTTTGTCTACTTTTCTGAGTCACGACACCACATCGCCCATGTGCCACCATTTCCATAAACAGCCTCCATCCCAGGCACAAAAAGAGGAGGAAAAAAAAAACAAAATAAAAAAAAACAGGATCAACTTTAAGGATGTCTTTATCAGTCCCATCTGCCAAAGGAACTTGAGGAATGTTGTTAATAAAAGAGAACTCATGCTAATAAAAATACACTTCATGGTCTTTAAATTCCGATACTTAAAATCGACAGCCCTGGGTAGCCTCATGGGAAAAAGAGAAGCAGCGATAGCTTCCGTGTTTGTCATGAAAAGTTATTCTGGAAGATAAAAGCCCTGTTTTTCATGGATGGTGACTCCCAGAAAAAGCGTGGAGGGATTTATCTATTTCTGATAACATGTGTTGCCTTCTCAGCCGTTCATCCATCAGTCGTATCTATTTATTTCTGCCTTAATCTCTGAAGAAAAACAAGTATGTGCTAAAGTGAGGAATTATATGCATATTCTATTGTGTATATTATATATATTATATTCTCTCCCAAATTAGGTCTTTCCAAATATATTAGTTTTCGGATTTGAACACATTCTTTCATGAGACACCTCCCTAAATATCTTCAGATCTGTACATGTCTGCTAAAAGGCAGCCACCCATTGAATTCAACTGAACACACTCTGTGCTCATTATGTTTATCAGGTTGAGAATTTTCTGGGAATCCTGGGAAAGCAGAAAGCATATGGATGGCTTAGCTGTGATCTGGTAGATCAAGATTAATCTGGGAGTGGCAAGAATTGAAAATAGAGCTCACAATGAAAAAAAATTCAGTTGCAGTTACAGGACTTTCCAACTGAATATATACTCTTTGTCAGTGTTGGTTTTTTGGTCTAAAATAAAATTCAATCTGAAGTTAAACATGCTTCAGGATTAATTTAATTATGCTGGCCTTTGTTTCAAAATCCGACAAAGGAAAGAACACTGCTTTCTGGACTAATGGGCAGATCAGTGGAACATCCTTCCAATTTTGCGTGTCTTTGAACTTTATAATGATCTTCCCCCCCCCACAAAAAAGGCCAAAATGAACATTATTTTACTATCTATTAATATATGATACTTTTAGAAAGGCTTTTTAAAAAAGATACAGAGGCATATTTTGGAAGGAAAGCACAATCAAGTATTTATTTAAATAGAATTATTGCGTTCTTTTTAAAATCCAGAAATAGGATAGAACAGATTTATAAACAAAGAGACATTTGTTTCTACCAAAGTGCTAGAATAGAATAAAGCTTCTTTGTAGTTGTTGCAAAATCTGACAGGTCATGGAGATGAACATTTTGACTGTAGTTTCAAAGAACAAAATGGGTTCCCTTAAGTCAGGGGTCTTCAAACTTGGCCCTTTGATGACTTGTGGACTTCAACTCCCAGACGTGCCTGGCTGAGGAATTCTGGGAGTTGAAGTCCACAAGTCATCAAAGGACCAAGTTTGAAAACCCCTGCCCTACAGAGATGTTATTCATGAAGTCACCAGAAACTGAACTTTGATTTGAAGGAAAGTTTGGTCTTTTAAATGCTGAATTAAAAATGCTTGACAGATGCTGCGTGGGGCCTTTTGTAACAAGTATCCTAACTCAGATTAACTTAAGAGCATTGTTCCTTAAGTGACATTTACATCCTATTTAAAGAAAGAGATGGGGAAAGAATTAATTTTGTTGTGAGTTACACAATGACAATAAAGATATTCTATTCTAAAAAGGAAGTATTGATCTTGATCCTTTGCCTCAAAAGATAAAGCAGAAAAACCTAGTCTGGTCCAGACCTTAAGATATCGAATATCCAAATACAAGATTGAAGGAAACTCGGTTTTTATACTCATTGTTTTTATTCCCGTCCCCTGTACGGGCTCGCGTTATACCCATTGCCGTAACCGTTTCTCTTTTTCTTTCTCTACTCCAGGTGTTCTGGGGAAGTGCCGTTATGTCTACTACGGGAAGCATTCGGAAGGCAACCGATTCATTCGTGACGACCAACTTTGAAGATCAAGAGGTGGTTCTGCATAGCCCTGGCTCTTGTCCTGTGCTACTCACACATCATGCGTTTGCATCTGCAGACCAAGAGGTACACACCACACATCCACACAGACATACCCGACGTTCAAACAAAGAGGAAATGTAAATCCAGTTATCTCCTGCCCACTTGGCCAGGCCTGTCAAAAGCATCCTTCAGCGTGTGCTTGAGTAGACTACATAGATTTTGACATGATTGCCTCTAAGCAGGCTCCATCTACCCCAGTGACAGACGGCAGCAGCAAAGCACCAGACCTGACAGCAGGGACTCCATGATGGATTGCCTGACCCCAATGTTGCTGGCAAAAGGTCACACCTGGCTCTCACTGAGCATGCTCAGATGGTTGGGCGAGAAGCCTCTCCTCCTGGCTGCAGCCTGTTGAGTGTCAAATCTACACGTCTGTCGAAAAAGAACGGTGCAGCTGGCGCCGCTAAAGGGCATCACTTCCTCATCCGACTTGATTTTTCACAAGAATTAAATATTTCAAGTGGGCCCACGAAGAACGTGTGGAGGGCACTGCGGGGTTGCAGAGAAAAATAAACATGGTTTAACATTTAACATCTGGAAGAGTGGTTTCTTGAGAAACCTGGAGGGCAGTGGTGGTGTTGAAGCATGACTGGAAGGAATTTGGGAAGTTAAAAATCTAGTAATATTTCAACTGTCTGCTTTTGATGAGGGCAAAAACAGAGGATGCTTGGGAGTTCGGGGAAGGGGGGTATCTATGGGAGGGAGGTCAAAAAAAGTCAAGAAGGAGGCTGTTATTGCTTCATAAAAGACCCACCTCCATTTTACATGCAAAGCCATCTTCTGGGTGACGCCATTTTATTTATTTATACACACACACACACACACACACACATATCCCCTCCCCACCCATGATGTCTCCAATTCTGTAAAACAATCTAGGCAGAATCACTGTGAAGAAACCACAGCAGGCCTGGCTGAAGAATTCTGGGAGTTGAAGTCCACAAGTCACCAAAGGGCCAAGTTTGAAGACCCCTGCTTTACGGGATCTTCAAAAAGAGAAGATGGAGATGTATCCCTCTCATTTTTCCACTGCACGGTGCCTCCAACATAACACTGAATTGTCAAGACCAATAGCTCCGGATGAGTCTGTTCGTCATGAATTTAGCCATTTCCTTTTCGAGCCAAACAAATTACCCATGTAATGAATTTCACAGTTCAATTGTGCACTGTTTGAAGAAATACTTGAAACTGTCTGTCCCGAATCTTCAAATCTGTTTCATTAGAGGCCCCTGGTCCTTGCATTTGGAGAAAATGAAGCTCTTCCTTGTTCTCTTTCTTTTCATATACCCCTTGACCGTGTCCCCCACACAGTTGCCTTTTTTTCCCAAGCTAAATCCTCCACGTGGGAAGCTTTTTATGCGACAGATCATGAATTGATTAGAAAGGAATTGCCTTGTAATTGAGTTTAATGACCAATTAATAGATCTTAAATAAGATTTCTATGAGTTGAGTCAAGAACAGCCAGAAGAATCTGCTCTGAAAAACTGTTCATGGCAGAGGCTGAGCATTAGAGGATACCAGCTCTGGAACAGTAATGCTTACAGGAAGTGCCTGGCTGAGGAATTCTGGGAGGTGAAGTCCACAAGTCATAAAAGGGCCAAGTTTGAAGACCCCTGGCTTACAGGGTGGATTGGATGAAGTTATGCAGATCTCCAATACTCAAGCAGACTGTAAATCATGATTATTTACATTTCACTGGTGACTTTGCTGCATAAGTACACATTTTGGTCATAGCCGTGGCATAAAGAGCCGTGGAGGCGCACTGATTAGAATGCAGCATTGCAAGCTAATTCTGCTGATACATTCAATTTCGCAGCTACTCAGATTGTTGGACAAGCAAGGACAAAAACAGCCAGGGAAATGATTGAAACCTGGGAAACGGGCCCCTCGCCAGTTAACTGGAGTGCTGATTTACCACCAGCCTATCAATTACTTAGAAGGTGAGGGCTGGGCAGCACAAGAAAATGACAGCCAATAATCAGCCATCAACATACCAGTCAGCCAATAGGAAGGCACCACATCAACATAACACACAGAGCAGACCAAAAGACGTATTCCCGTAGGTCAGTGTTTCCCAAACTTGACAATTTTAAGGCATGAGGACTTCAGCTCCCAGAATTCCACAGCCAGCAACGCTGGCTGTGGAAGTCTGGGAGTTGAAGTCCACATGCCTTAAAATTGTCAAGTTTGGGAAACACTGCCATAGGTTCTATGAAGATGGTTCCAGTAAGAGTAAATCTCTGGTTCTGGTGACCAACTCAAACGCGATCTCACTCCTGCTCCTCTTCACTGCATCCTCCCAGGAACACACCCCTACACATGCCAGCCATCCCCAACAACAACCCCACCACCATGATGAAGCAACACAGCAGGACTTGGGGAAGGGAATCACACTTCATCCCCTACTTCACCGTTTTTTTTTTCCTTTTTTCCCTTGTGCTTCTTGTTTTATTGCAAGCTGCAGCTATGATGGATTGTCGGAGGGGAGGGAAAGAAAAACAAACAAACAAAGGTCCTGTGAATGACAGCATAAAATCCAGGCAACTTTCAAAAGAGAGGGAAAAGAAATGAATGATGGGGTTGAGATTATGTTGGTGCTCCCGCAGCAAAAACAATTTATGTAGCTGTGGCGAAGCAGATCGGAAATAAAGATTCATGCCACCTTGCCTGCTTTGAGTGATAAGTGCCAATCATGAAATTAGTTTTTCCTTCTTTTTCTGGGCTATGATTTCTCCTGAAAAGTGATCCCCCTCGCGTTTTGCTTTCCCTTACTGAAATGAAGGGGAATAGGAGTAAATATGACATTTAATATACCGTAAATGCCGGCGTACAAGGCGACCTGGCGTATAAGACGACCCCTGTCTTTATAGCCGGGCTGCATTCCTAGAACGTCGTCTTATACGCCGGAAACTACCAGTATTTCCGGCGTATAAGATGACTCGGCGTATAAGACAACCCCCGTCTTTGGCGCCGATTTCAGCTCTCGCGGAAGTCGCCTTATACGCCGGCATTTACGGTAGCTCATAAAAGACTGGCGTTGTTCCTAACCCTTGTTTCCCTGAGAATCTGTCACTTCAAGCCCAGGATAGTGTTTCCAGGATCTGAGTAACATCGATGGCATTCTCAGAGAGGAAGGATCTTCTAAGGATGTCCATTTCCCTGCTCACAATTCTGTTCTTGAGCCACCGATTCACGATTACAAAAACACTTGAAATCTTGCATCTAGATTATACAAAATAACAGACTTGGAAGGGACCTTGGAGGTCTTCTAGTCCAACCCCCTGCTCAAGCAGGAGACCCTACACCAGACTGTCCAGTCTCTTCTTAAAAACCATCAGTGATGAAGCACCCACAACGTCTGAAGGCAACTTCTGTTCCACTGGTTAATTGTCTTCTCTCTGTTAGGAAGTTTCTCCTTAATTCCAGGTTGCTTCTCTCCTTGATTTGTTTCCATCCTCAGCATCACATAATCAAAATCTGGACACTTGTCGACTGGTTCATATTTATGATCATTGTTGTGTCCTGGGGTGTGTGTGTATGTTCCGTGAAAAGTCATAAAATGGGGCTGTAAAAAAAACTTGCTTAACAAATGTCTTGCTTAATAATTGTGGTCCTAGGAGAGGACCTACAACCAATGGAACAGAAGTTGCCTTTGGAGGTTGTGGGAGCGTCATCACTGGGCTGCCATCTGTCAGAAATGGTGTAGGGTCTCCTGCTTTGGTGGGGGGGTGGACTAGATGATCTCCAAGTTTCCCTTCCAACTCTGTTATTCTATTATTCTAAACCAATGGAACAGCTTGCCTCTAGAAGTTGCAGGTGATCCATCACTGGAGGTTTTCAAGAAGAGACTGGACAGCCATTTGTCTGGAATGGTCTAGGGCAGGGGTAGGCAACCTTGGCTCTTTTATGACTCATGGACTTCAACTCCCAGAATTCCTGAATCAGCATAGCTGACTTAGGAATTCTGGGAGTTGAAGTCCATGAGTCATAAAAGAGCCAAGGTTGCCTACCTCTGGTCTAGGTCTCCTTCTTGGGCAATGGGTTGGTCTAGAAGACCTCCAAGGTCCCTTCCAACTCTATTATTCTATTATTCTAAACCAGTGGAACAGCTTGCCTCCAGAAGTTGCAGGTGATCCATCACTGGAGGTTTTCAAGGAGAGATTGGACAACCCTTTGTCTGAAATGGTACACAGTTTCATGCCAGAGCAGGGGGTTGGACTAGATGACCCTACAAGGTCCCTTCCAACTCTGTTATTCGGTTCTGTTCTCTCAGATCAGGAGGCCCAGCTAAGTTTGAAAGCTGGCTCAGCTACACCAACTGACAGTTCCTTGGCAGGTTGTAAACTTATTTCGCTTAGGGAAATGGTGAAGAAATAATAGACTGGATGGATGGCTGCAAACGCTAAAGCTCACTCAGTTCAGATCTCTGAATTGTACCGCTGTGCCGTCATTTCGACGGCTCCAGCACTTACGGCAATTTCACCAAAGGGCGGTCAGTTATATTTGGTGACTTTTAGGGCGATTAACTCTTGGCAGGCCTTAGGGACTGACATGAGAGTCCAGGATGCTTTTCTCAGGGGGGAAATAAAGGAAAAAGACAAGGGCTTCTGAAACTCCTCAAGCATTTTCCTTGAAAACAATTTCAGTCTCCTAAAAATCTCTTCCCTGCCAGGGACATCACTAGGGGATGTGGCAGGATCCATGATCATCGATTTGATTAATGGTCTGGGCAATTTTTTTTTCCTTTCTCCAAATTAATAACTCACCGAAAAGGCAGGAAAAAGAAGCCACGGATGGAAACTCATCCAGGAGAGAAGCAACCTGGAACTAAGGAGAAATTTCCTGACAATGAGGACTATTAACCAGGGGAACAACCTGCCTCCAGAAGTGATGAGTGCTGGAAGACTTTAAGAAGAGATTGGGCTGCCATTTGTCCCCAAAGGGTCTCCTGCTTCAGCAGGGGGTTGGACTAGAAGACTTCCAAGGTCCCTTCCAAGTCTGTTCTTCTGTAAACGGAGGCGGAAATGCTACTCAGCTTCTCAGGATGGACAGTCAGAGACACATGTTATCTCACACATCTTAACATTCCCAACCAGAGAATGGCCTTGATCTTAGCCCGAGGCAAAGCACTACCTTCCACGCTCCTAGATGGAAAATACAAAAAAGATAACATATCCTTTACAACTGGACCATCCAGTCAGAGCTGAAGAAGCTTCCTGGAGGAGAAGCGAAACGTCTTCAAAGAAAAAATAAGAAAGTCCAGTTGCCTTGTGAAAAAGCACCTTTGGGACCACCATGATCTGGATGACTGAGAATCAATCTCCACAGACATGGAGCCATGCACTTTAATGTGGGATGAACCTCCTTCGAATGGTGAGGGAGCATGAACGGAGGGAGGAAGGAAGGAAGGGAGGGAGGGAGGAAGGAAGGAGAGGAGGGAGTGAGGATGGAAGGAAGGAAGGAGGAAGAGAAGGAATGAAGGAAGGAAGGAAGAGGGAGTGAGGAAGGAAGGAGGGAGAGAGAAGGAAGGA